TGAAACATTAGCGCACGCTGCATTTGCTACCGGCATTTCAACTCTAATATCTGTTGGATTTGTCACTTCCGAGACAAAGCAGCAGATGCATGGCGCCTGCCGTCTGGCAAACAGGAACGGTACACTTGAGTAATTATCTATTTAATGATCCTAATCTGTGTATTGCTGCATCTAGAAAAGGAGAGAATGCGACCAACAAGCCAACAAAATACTACATACTATATTAGCACAAGATTAGAAAACATACCCCTTCCCTCACACATAAATAAAACATACACATCTATTCTCTTAACAAAGTGTTCACATTCCAGACAAGAAAGTACACAAAAGAAATACATCTGTAGGAAACCCACATCTACACAAAATACAATATCCAGACAGAGCATAAGAAAATCTTTTATATAAGTTTCTTCTCAATGAGCTAACATTCTTACTTACTTACTCACTCACTCATGGAGCTGAGCCCTTCTGGAGGAGCCGCCAATTCTGCAGCTACTCAAGAATTTCCCAGCATTTTATGGAACCCGAAGGTTCATTACCGTGTTCACAAGAGCCCTCCACTGGTCCCTATCCTGAGCCAGATCTATTCAATCCAAACCACCCCATCCTATCTCTCTAAGATCCATACTAATATTGTCCACCCGCCTACGCCTTGGTCTTCCCTGTGGTCTATTTCCTTCTGGCTATCCCACCAATATCCTATACGCATTCTTCGTCTCCCCCATTCGTGCTACATGACCTGCCCACCTCATCCTCTTTGACTTGATCATTCTAATTATACTTCTAACATTCTTACAATTAATATTTCATCTCAGTGGTCAACACACTTTTTATATAAGAGGAAGTCAGTAAATAGGTCACAAATGGAAGTAGAACAGCTGCAATGGACATAATTGGTTTTTATGCGTACGAGTATTATTAAGCAGCAACAGGGAGCGGGGATAGCGTAGTCGCTATAGCGACTCGCTACGGGCTGGACGACTGAGGGTTCGGAGTTCGAGTTCCGGTAGGTCGCCCAGACCGGCTCTGGGGCCCACCCAACCTCTTACCGAATGGATTCCGGGGGTAAAGCGGCAGATGCGTGAAGCTGACCACTCACCTTCAGCTAGTGCCGAAGTCAAGAAAACGTGGATCTATACATCCATCCCCCATACGCCTTCATAGCGTAGTGCTTAATTAGTTAAGCACAGGGACAACTTCACCTTTTACCTTTATCAGCAGGTAGCAGTACAGGCCAACTTCATGACAGTCTATGCAGCAGACGCGCATGCGCATGTTCAGAGGCTGGTTTCAGCATTCAAAATTGTAACCGTGCTTGAGGCCGCACTTCTGAAGAACACAATTCTGTTGTGCGCTGTTTGTGGGCTCAAAAACATAATGCAAAGAATATTCATAAAGAAATGTTTCCTGTTTATGGTGAGAAGTGTTTGTCGGGTAAAGCGGTTCACAATTGGGTCGATAAATTATCTCAAGGACATTCGAAAGTCACAAAATTATGAAACGGAGGTGTGGAATTGGCTGAGACAACAGTAAGAAGACTTCTATGCTGCGCGTTTCGACGCACTGGTAAAGCGATGGGACAAGTGTATCAGTGTTGCTGAAGAATGTGTCGAGAAATAAAAGTCTTTTCCAGGTTGGAATATAATGTTTTACGTTTTATATCCATTTGTGGCTGGCTCTCCCTCGTATAACGGAATTGCGTACTGCTAGAAGAACACTATTCCAACATGTAAACACTGGCCAGGCCGGTCACGGTAGCCGAGCGGTCGAAGGCTTGGAAACCGGGATCGTGGGTTCGAATCCCACTCAGGGCATGGATGTTTAGTTTGTGTGTGTGCGTTTTTCTGTGTATGTGTACAGGTAGAGGCCTTGCGACGAGCTGATCACCCGCCCAAGGAATCCTACCGAATGTGTAAGATCTAGAAAAACCGAAGTGAACGAGAAGTTCATGGAGGTAGGCCTAGGCCCACTGGGGCTGTAGTGCCAAGGAAGAAAAAAACACTGGCCAGTGTAAAATTAGTATCAGACGAAAATAGGTAAATGTAAGAGAGTCAAATACCTGATGATGGCTTAATGAGCCGAAACCTGTGGTACGAAACGACGAATGTATAGTGTATACACACTACCTATTTTGGTGATTAAATAAAATCAAGAAATTAGTTTTACATGTTAATATTCTAATATTTCATAGAAAATTTGTAAGCATAATTATAACGACGATTTCTTGATCCACGGCTAATTCTCCTGGCTTGATTGTGATGCAAAACTCACTGAGAAAGAAGGGCAAGTATTCTTGGGAAGAGCACGCCCGAGTTAGTTGCCAGAACGTTCTTCTGACAGGCGTCAAACTACGTCCGTTCCGCCTGACCAGGGCCAGAAATTGTGGAAGTTTCTGGCTAACAAGAACCACCACCCACCAATCAGAGGAAGGATGGCTCAGAAAGCTGATTATTTCGTGAACGTGACCAAACATCGGTACGATCTTCTGTCAACTGGTCGCTTCGCGCTGGAATTCAAATTGGGCAAATCCCTGGGGCGAGATTTTTAGACCCAGCAGATCGGCTGACGAAGGAACTATAAGACGAACATGTACGCTGGCTAATCGCCATGCAAGACCTCGTACCTTCAACTTGGAGGCCTCTAAATGCGAGGACACGGTAGGAGCTATGGACAGAAGCGAGTCAGCCTCGAAGCACTCTCACTGACTGAATGACTGACGGTAGGAGCCACGAAAGAAGTTACTACTGAGTGTCAGAATATTACAGCGTGTAGCGATATACCGGGACGGTTTCTGGGCAACGGATCGGTAAACACGTTCCCGCAGCAACAGACACAAACGCAACAATAGAACAGCGGTGTTTTATATAAGGTCCGTGCAGAGATGTTATAAGCAAGGAACAAGGTCAGAACTTAGTCAGTTGAGAGTTCAAAGTCAGTTCTGTACTGGAATCAGTGAAAAGAGGATTTGAGAGCGTGAAGCTAAAGAATATCCATTGTTAGAAGCCGCTGTCAGGAACGGTTGGTGACGACACATCAGGCTTGAAAAGAGTTAGGGCGTGCTTTGGTGATTTGTGAATTTTGGAGATCCGCGGTGGCGCTGTACTTGTACTTAAGAGTCGTGCATAAGTGACCAATAAATCCATTCACCAATCCGAACCCCGTCTATAGTCACTTCTGAATCGTGACACTATTTTGTACAAAGTTCTACATCAACAGATCGTCACATGCAGAATTTGAAGTTTACACACCAGTGGTTACCAAGAATTATATCGTCTGAAATGCAGCGTCGTGTAGTCCGTTGAAAGTCAACCGACGTTTCGGAGAAGTATGTTGTCCGCATCTTCAGGGCTGACGAGTAAGCCAAGCATGCGAAGCTAACTCTTCAGATCTTCATACATCTTCAATTATACTCAACATTCCGAGAGTCTGCGCACTGGGCTTAACAGTTTTGACGTGCCTGCAGCTGCATATTTGTATGATCGGGTCTGGGACCAAATTATACCCAAAAGATTTATAATTCCTGGATTTCAATATGTTTTGGAACCTGTGACTGTAACATTACCACTGCATCCGCCAGAAGCCTACTGCCGCTACTTGGCATACATTTGCCTCACCTGCCGATTCATCTCGAGCTACCCAGAACTAAGACCTAAGAGCAACAACGCCCCTGACCTGGAAACTGTGTGGAGTGAACGGCTCCTGATACAGAAGGATAAGTGTGAGGCCGGTGGCAGAGATAGCGCACAACATGACAGCCCGATAAGAAGGCGTCAAATATTGGCGATAGTGTACAGATACCAAATTTCACGTACGTACAGTCGGATCAGAGAAAGAATGAACACGGAATAGGGGGATTTCGCATTGGCCGTCTGCTTTCCTACTCTACCAATACTGCAATCATCCTTTACCCTGTCAAGAGACCAGTCACACCTCCCTGCCTTAACAGGAAGAAGTCGCTTACTTCGTCACTTATTTCACAAATATATGTAACACAACACAATAATACATATTTTAATAAATTGAGATGACATAGTGCAAGACCAGATTCATGACGTACCCACAGAACAGAGATAACAATTGGTGCGAGTGGGGGAAGGCACATTACGGATAGCAGCTGCTTGGTGGATGGGTGCAGGCAATCTCTGTACATTCCTTCACTGACTCGACTTCAGCCACAATGCCCTACTACAGCTTATTGCCATCAAACGGAAAGCTAAATATGGCATAAATTTCCCATAAACGAATTTTATTTTACTCTGTAAAGGCAAAAATGTTGTAAAATTGTAACGTCGTGTATCATACCGCGTCCTACTTCCTGCTGCGTCCTCCCCCCCATAACGTAACTTCCGCCCCTTCTACTCCCTTTCCATCCTGCCACCGTAGGGAATAGAGAAGTCTCGTTCTGTCTCCCCCCCCCCCGCGGTGTATCACACATCACGTTTCGGCCCAAATGAATTTGTATTTATTTGGTTTCGGAATGCTGTCCCGCACTACTCGACTCCTTTCACTTTGTACATATTATTATTTCAACTGGACTCTGCTTGTGTTATCACTGTTACAAGTTTTATTACGCTGATCCGTCTATTCATTCTTGTTACTGTCCTTATTTAAACTTGTGCCCCGCATTACCGACTCTGACCTACGCCGACCTCTGCGGTAGCCGCTTCCTCTGTACTCCGCTGAGGTGTAACGCGTCAAACTTCCCGAAGGTCTGTTTCCACGCAACATCAGGCCTACAACGGGATGGACAAAACCTTGGAAACACCAAGAAACTGAGGAACATAATTTGCGTTGGCTACACTGAAATAACTTCAGTTGCCAACACTGAATGATCTTCAATTTGTTTACACTCCGTGGCAGTGAATCCGGAAATTGTGTTGAGTGAGAGTCCGGGTGAAAAATCGGAAAACTGGACTTGTCCGATTGAGCGTTGTCCGACAGTTCGTTGGTGCGTGTTCATCTGGAGCATCTGTGACAAAACTGCCACATTAGGGTTAATTCACACATAGCGAGCTGTGCACTGACTGTGCACCGACTGTGTCATTTTGAATGGAATTGCTAAACGGCAGTCTGCATTTGAAATGCACTGCACAGGTTTATGTAATTCAGACATGCTGGACTGGGCGACGGCTGTGCCCCGACTGTGTCCCTACTGTGTCGTCTCCGACCGTTTCAAAAGCGATTCTTCAAGGTCACGGCTCGACACAGCTGGCGCACAGCCCTGTATGTGTGAATAACGAAAGGGCGCCCACCGGTCGCCCGGCGCTATTCGGCAGTTTTCGTTACAGCACATCTTTGTGCCGAAGCGGAGCGAAGCATTTGTTCAGTTCAGTGCGAGAGAGAGAAAGTAGCAATTAGAGCACGTATATTGTTGTCATTCTTCACTATGGATGAAGAGAAACTCATATTATTGGTGCAAGAACATGAATGTCTTTATAATCTCAGGAGCCCAGACTATGATAATAATTTAGTAAAAGACAACGTTTGGAAGGACATTGCGAGGCATCTTCATTCTACAGTAGATGATTGCAAAGCAAAATGGGCCTTGTTACGTTCATATTACCGGCGAGCTTTAAGTCGACGGAGAACGACCAGTGGACAGGCCATATGGGTATGGCCGTAGTAAATTTCGTTTTAAAGGGAATGCTTCGTCTCCATCAATAACGAAAGGATAAGTTTCTGTGGAATTCGGTACAGGTCTTGGCTCTGGAATGTTCAAGCGGCTCTCTTCTAAACGTTTCCCAAAAACTGAATTTGAAAAAATCCCACCATCACTTGACTTGCCATACCCTCCAATGTCAACAACCACAAACTTGTAGTTCGCATCTACGAGTGCCAAAAGGACAACTGAAAAGGTTTTTTTATAGTTAAAGTAGAGGGATCGGCTATTTTTAGGAGCTTGTATTTCAAAGTGCTTCCCGTCAATTTCGCCTATGCAGTTGGGGAACTGCCGCATTGAATAAAAGTCATCCGCTATTTTTCGCCACATTTCTCCAGTTGGTTCTGGCATTTCTTTCTTGGCCATTGTTTCCCATATAGCTTTACAAGTTGGAAATATAATAGAATTTACAGTTGAAGGAGCCAGTCTATAGCTAAAACTCAGAGAAATTTGCGAGTCTCCTGAACCCAAGTATTTCATTGTTAAAGCTAACCTTTCTTCCGGTGAAACAGATTGCCTCCATTTAGAATTCTGTTTTGTCAATTCTGGTCCCAGTATTTTTAACAGATTTTCAAATTTTCGTACGCTCATACGAAAATACGTGAAGAATTTATCCTGATCATCCTTAAGGCGAGAATATATCGTATGAAATTCTCCTTCTTCGTCTCTTGCTCTCCATAACTGATGAACCCAATATTTTCTTTTCTTTCTGTTCTTTTCTTCTTGCAACACAAGGTATGCTCCGCATGCAGCAATCACATCTTCTTCGTTCTGATCCATCTCTACGAATGCAAAATAAAAACCAGCTACAGCACAGTCGGCGACCAGTCCACTATGTGTGAATGGTGGCAGCAGAGCACAGTCTGCGCACGGTCGGTGCACAGTCGGTGCACAGCACGCTATGTGTGAATCAGGCCTTATTGGGCGTATGGAGAGCGACAGTTTCTGAGGTTATGTCGGCATGCACGGATCGTGGGAAGACAACATCAGCGAAGAGGAACTGTGGACGAAAATCAACACTGACAGAAATAGATCGTAGTACTTTGAGAAGGATTGTTTCGAAAAATTAGAGAACTACTGAAGCACAGGTGACAGGGCAGCACAACTGAATAATCACATGGAAGGCTCTGTTTCCATAAAAACTGTCCCATGTGAGCTTCACAAACCCACGATAGGGCTGCATTTGCTAAACCTCTGATTACTGAAAGTAATGCTCAGATGCATAAACGGTGGTGTCACGACCATAAAACCCGGACATCAGACAACTGGAAAGCCGCGCGCGATATGGCCAGATGAGGGGGTCCTTCACACAGTTCCCTACATCAGGAAGAGTTCACCTTTGGAGAACACACAAGGAAGCCTACAGTCCAAAATGCCTGGTTCCAACAGTGAAACACGGGGGAGGTTCTGTGACGCTTTGGGCAGCAATATCGTGGTACAGCATTCTGTTGGCCCCATTAGTATCCTACGTGGCCGAATTATTAATGTATCAGCAGGAAATATTCCGCAGTTTTTAGTTCCTTCTTTCTTGGTGTGGGGTGAGACTTGAGTCCACTTGGTACGTCGGCCACTAGCTGGCCTCAGATGATGATGCCTATGGAGCAGTCGGTGGGATGACAACTGGCTGTGGAAACAGAAGTACTCGGAGAAAACCTGCCCCAGCGCCACTTTGTCCAACACAAATCCCATATGACCTGAACTAGGCTCGAACCTGACTAACAACCTCAGCTATGTCACGGCCTCATCAGCAGTTTTACTCGAATAGGAGCTGCTGTCTGGCGCAGCAAATCCATCACTAATTGGGGTGGGGGGATGCGCATGCGTACTCGCTCTGAAAGACATGTGAAACCTGCCAAAAGTAACAGCCAAGAAAAATTCTGTATGGAGGGAAGGGATTCTCTACCTTATGAACAAGACTAAACATGAAGGAGATGTGTACCGGTAACCACAACGCAATACCCGAAACACGAAACTCTACGCCTGACCATTACAAGAAACCAGCAAGAAAACTGCTGGCAAGCTGCTCTGCTTATCTTTCGACCCTGACAAAGGTGTCGAAATGCTCCTCCGACCTGTCAGTTGATTTCCAACAGACTACACGGCGCTATATCGCAGAAGACAGTGCTCTTCATAACCACCGGTGTCAGAACCTCAAATCCTACATGCTGATTGTATAAGAAAAAACGATAGAGAAGACCAGTTTCGGGGAAAGTGTATAGAGACCGACTTATAAGAAGCCGAAATTCTCGTTTTCCATCTGCCTTCTCCAACGAACGAAAAAGCGACCTTCTACATTCAAAACTACCTATGGTTTTATATAGCCCTTTGTTGGACCTTGGCCGCCTTTTCAGTTTCTTCATCTTTCACCCAGTGGGTAGGACTCCTTGGACAGGGGATCAGCCAGTCACAAGACTTCACACAGCCCAGCAGAAAGAGAATAAAAACACACAGACAGCGATGCCTCAAGTGGGATTCGAACACATGATCCCAAAGTTCGAGCGGGCGAAGACGGCTCGATGCCTTAGAATGCGGCTACTGCGATTGGCTTCTACACCGAAGCACCTGCGGCTGAAGACTGCCCCAGTCACACTTCCCCCACAGTTTCAAGTTCAAAATAAAGCGTCTGTATCCGCCAGTCATCTGCAACCTCCGAGGCACTTAACGCAAGAAGCAAACGCCATCTTGCGAACTTGCGCAAGAACCTCTCAGACTACAACCGACCGCGTACTAGACTCTGCTTCGCACATTTTTCCTCAAGATCCGCTGCCCCGGTGCCTATGCCACCCCAAGTGCACCTCTTTCCTTCTACACTGAAAGTATGTACACCGATCAATAATGGTGGAGCTATACCTCCACTCCCCCATAAGCCTTTATGACATGCTTAATTGTGTAATTACAAGGGATACACGGCCGACTGATGAGGACCACGCACTATGGGGGTACAACATGGACACAGCGGAGCGAAGACAGTGCGTTCGTTCCCAAACAAATACATTCTCCTGCGAGCGCCGATATGCAGTAACATAGGATGCACTGATATGCGAGCTTGTGCAGTGCTGCAGTTTCAATTTGTGAAGAAATCTCTGAAGACAGACTTGTATAGCCGAAACACGTTGCAACTAAATATGTTTTTAATGACATTTTAAAATGAAGGAGAGACTGTGAACTGTCTGTGTTGCACCAGAGACGGAAATGCGTGAACGAGCAATAGATCAATACAACAGGAAGCAGAAATACAGTAATATACGTATATAATTAAGCACAGGGGTAGTTTTACTTAATTAGTACTGAAATACAGGACGGAGCAGAGAGCACTGCACGAAACCCTCACTTCCCAGTTTCAGCTACAGACAATGCTCTCGGCTGCACCACATGAGATCAACGTGGGGCGGGCCATTATATGCAGGCTGCTGATCATAACGAAGTTGGTTAACACACAATCAAATGCAGCCATTCGCCCACTTCCAAGGAAGGCTGGCCAAGTAGAGAACTGCATTTCGTAAGCATGATCTCGTCTTCTCGGTTAAATCGATATCGGACAGAAACAAACAGCTTCTAGAAATGCGAAACAATTACGGTAATTTAGGAGACTCAGTACAGGCCACATCACACACCGTCACACCGTCTATCCATCGAAGAGTATCTACAGTTCTTTCGTTGGACCTTGGCCGCTTTTTCAGTTTCTTGATCCTATACACAGTCGGTACGACTCCTTGGACGGGGATGAGCCCGTCGCAAGGCCGCTACCTATACACAGAACAAACGCGTGCAGATATGCATGCCTCTAGTTGGATTCGTACCCACGATCCCAGCGTTCGAACGAGTGAAGACGGTTCATGCCTCAGACAGCGCGGCTACCGTGATCGGCATTAGATATTCATCATCATCATCATCAGTAATCTGTCAAGACGACAGGTCTTTCCTATTAGATATTATGCATACCATAAAAACGGCGAAAAGCGAAACATTTCCATACCACATTTATTTCGTCGGTGAAAGCAGCCTAGAGCAGACTGACACTTACATAGCCTCACCAACTCCACACCAGACAGCAGCACACACCCGTAGCGCAACCAACAAGTATGGAAATCTCAGTAATCCAGTACCTGGGGTTATAAGTGGGCCACCCTGTTCCTGGGGGATATAAATACGGGGACCTGGCCCTCCAGGTTGGGGGAGTCTCGAACCCGAGAGGATAGAATGTGGTCATGAGTCCCGAGGGGCTTGGATAGGAGAATGACTGCGCTGGCGAGGTTCACCAGCAACTGTAAACGACAGACCCATCCTCCTATCACAGAGAATATAACATAAAAATTATGACCGCAAGGATTAAGTTGAAAAAAAAATACTGGTTGTGATCCTCAAGAGGCCTCACGCCAAAAGGAACTGACTGGCGATAAACCGCCAGTCTTAAAGTAACTCTAACTCTGGACTCACAGTAACCATCCACCATTTTAGAAACCCAGTCTGAAGTACTATATATATAAATGCGAAAGGCCCGCCCTCACAGTTGATACTAAAAATGTAAAGTTGTCACTGAGCTTAATAAAGTAAGCACTATGTCTTGAGGACGTACGTGGGAGTGGAGGTATGGATTCACGTTTTCTTGACCTCGGCACTAGACAGAAGTGGTCACTTCACACCCGGCCGCTTTATCAATGTGAACGCTGTCCCTTGCACCCATTGCATAGGAGGCTTGGTAGGCCTCAGAATCGGTCTGGACGCTGAGGAGAAGAGAAAAATCTTGCCCTGTCGGGAATCGAACCCCGGCCGTCCAGCAAATAGCAATCCCGACTCCTCATTAAATAATAAATATATAACAGATTCTAGTCAACTATAAGTTCACAGAACACTACGTCATAACCAGCACCAATCACCTTCACGAGCAACATAACCACTGATCGTCAGAACAAGATGCAGTGCCCACAGACACAAGCAACACAATTCAGAAACAACGGGGTAATGGAATGGAAACTTTGGTTAATTTTAACCAAATTCTGCAATAACGTAAATATATTAACCAAGTTCTAACGACATTTTACAAGGAAGAACTGAAAACAATACATTGCAGCAAATACGTATATAATCTACATGAAGATGAACTTATAAGGTCGAAACAAGTTGTATAAGAAGACATCTTCTGCGATATAACTCCGTTTAGTCCATTCGAAGTCAACAGACGTTTCTAAAGAACATGTCGCCTCCGGCTTCAGGACCGACGGCTACACGGCCTTACATCTTCATAACCAGATCATACAGGGAATTTTATACATGACCACGTAGCACACCACCAGTGCACGAACACGACAAGAAATCGCACCTTAAAGACTGCCTCTGCTAATTAAACGACAGAATTCGTTTCCCGAACGGAACCATCACAACTTAGACTGCTCAGAAGTAAAATAAACCGCAAGCTGGCGTGTAGGACTTCACCCATACTTCCTTAGCTGAGCCCTTCTTGAGGAGAAGCCACCAACTGTCCAGCTACTCAAGAATTTCCCAGCATTTTATGGAACCGAAGATTCATTACAGTATTCACAAGAGGCCTCCACCGGTCCCTATCCTGAGCCAGATCAACCCAATCCATACCATCCCATCCTATCTCTCTAAGGTCCATTTTAATGTTGTTCACCCACCTACGCCTTGGTCTTCCCAGTGGTCTCTTTCCTTCTGCCTTTCCCTCCAATTCCTCTTCTCTCCCATTCGTGCTACATGCCCTGCCCACCTCAACCTCCTTGATTTGATCATTCTAATTATACTTGGAGAATAGTACAATTTATGAAGCTCCTCATTATGCAGTTTTCTCCAACCTGCTGTCACTTCATCTCTCTTCGGTCCAAAATTCTTCTCAAAACCCTGTTCTCAGACACCCTTAGTCTGTTCCCCCCTTAATGTCAGAGACAAAGTTTCACACCCATACAGAACCGAAGGCAAAATTATAGTTTTGTATAATCTATTTTTTATGTTTTTGGTC